GCGGCGAGCGAGGAGCTAAGCCCCTCGCCCACTGCGCGGGCCCCTCCTGGTGAAGAGCGAAGGCCTGGGTTCCAGGCCGCAGAGGAAAACTGGTGCCAGCAGCCAGGGGAAGGGGCCCCTGAGGGACCCCAGACTGTGAGAGGGCCCAGGCTGGGCTGAGGGACCCACCCAAGTGCACAAATTTTTGTGTACCGGGCCTCTAGTTATTTATATAAAAGGCCAATATGCTAAGTGTCCGACCGTCCGACTGGTCACTATGATGCACACTGACCACCAGGGACCAGATGCTCAATGCAGGAGCTGCTGTGACGCGCACAGAGAAACGGCACTGCGGACCTGGCACCCACAAAGCAAAACTCGACTTCCCCGAAGTGGGACTCAGGCTCCGCCACCACCCCGGAGTGACAGTCCACCAAATCACAGCCGACGCTGCCAAGACCCCATGGCACAAAATGGGCCCACAGCTCCACCCAGCCCAGAAAGGGTTGCTGTGGGCACCGGGTAATGATGTCACATAGCAACGCCTGGCTTCCTCTCTCTAGAGACGACTAGCCTCCTTACAGTTTCTTCAGCCCAGGAACACGACTTGCTTTATAGCCAAGTGCAAATATTTTACACTTTAATCAAATGACTGTGAAGCGTTTTTCCATGCCTCATCTCATCTGATCCTCACAAAAGTCCTGGAGTAGGTAGATACGAGATTTGGTGGAATCCTATTTTCTCTTCATTAGCTGGAAAATGGAGATTTAGAAAGTTTAGAAACTTTTCCCACTGAAAAGAAGTAAGAAATGGTGGACCTTGAAAATGACTTCAGGTTTTCTCACTGCGCAGAATTATAGTCAAACACTGCTGCAGTTAAATATTTTACCTTTTGTTCTCCCTGCATGATCTACAATAATAATCTGTTTTGTGTTGCTATTTACTGCTGTGTTGCTGACAATTACCTGAAAGAGAAGTTGGGGTGCTTCACTGGACTGGAAAATGTTTAGCTACATCAGAAAGCAGGTCTAATTAAGCAAGTTTATTCTATATCTATAAAAGGCTAAGTTGACTTGCGAATGTGCGATACATAGAAAGCTCTCGCTGGCACCAATCGCACACATGTTTTGATCTGTCATTATCAATTGTGAATTTGGTTGACACTTCTATTATAAAGGCTGAATAGCAATATTAAAATATTTATTCTAATTAATTTCCTTTCAATGTGCATGAATTTGTGTACCAGGGCACTAGTATTTAATAAAGGAAGTAGACTCTTTCTGACATATGGCTGCATAAAGATGTTAATGTCTTTGCTTGGGTTTTTCACATTATTTTAACTGAAAATATGTGTAATTTATTTTAAATAAGGCCAACTTTTAAGTATTTTCAGATTCATTAGAGTACTAAAACAAAGGAATATATTTCACAAAGCAAATAACTTATTTATAAATTCTTTCTTTGATAATTAATTTAGAAGAGAAACAACAAACCACACTTACAGAATGGTACTCAGCTCAAGAGAATACTGTCAAGCCTGAATCTCAGAGGCAAAGAACAATTCCAAATGTGACTGAAGAGTATGATTTATTGGATGATGGTGGTGATGCTGTTTTCAGTCAGTTGGTAAGACCTAATTGGTTTCATATTGATATTTTAAGTAAAAATTTTATAGTTTAAAGAATATTGTAGGAGATCATAATATTTTTATGCATTTTTTTATTGTTTAAAGTATTACATATGTCTCCTTTTTCCCCAATTGACCCCAC